TTCTCATCATACTAGGCGTAAAGATATTTATTAGACCCTGGCATCTCAAAACTTCAACTTTTTTTAGCTTTCGAAAAGAGTCTGGGGCAAGTTGGCGGTGCCATATAGTCCTCAACTTAGGTAAGTCACAGATGATCAAGCTCTCCAAGCTGGAAAGTCCTACATGTACACATATTCATCTCTATACCTTTTTTCACTAATGCAGGACACATTAATTGGAAATAAATGCATAAAGAAAGGGAAAGAAATTTATAATTCACTTTTTCATAAAAAAGAAAGTGTGGTATAACAGTCTCAAGATTCTCCTTGGAGTTCCTATTGTCATTTTCTTTGCCCATTGTAGTAATTTCACTCCTATAAGATATTCTAGTGGAAGTGCTACCGATAACACATTTCTATTGAAGATCATATTTCATTATAAATAGACTTTCGAGAATGGATCATGCTTTCGTCATGATTCATGAATTTGTACACTAAATAAAACCTAATAAATTACTTGTAGTGATTTGCATTGCTTTATCACTAATGTGCCTAGAGCATTCAATCTTCCCATCATACTTGGCGCAAAGATATTTATTAGACTCTGGCATCTCAAAACTTCAACTTCTTTGAGCTTTCGAAAAGAGTCTGGGGCAAGTTGGCAGTGCCATATAGTCCTCAACTTAGGTATTTCATAGATGATCAAGCTCTCCAAGCTAGGAAATCCTACCTGTACACATATTCATCTCATATACCTTTTTTCACTAATGGAGGACACATTAATTGGAAATAAATATTCTAGTGGAAGATATTCTAGTGGAAGTGCTACCGATATTCTAGTGGAAGTGCTACCGATAACACATTTCTATTGAAGATCATATTTCATTATAAATAGACTTTCGAGAATGGATCATGCTTTCGACATGATTCATGAATTTTGTACACTAAATAAAAGCTAATAAATTAATATACTGTTTAAATGAATTGTAACTTGGATATAATTTCAATCCTAACAAGAAACAATAGCATGAAAGAATAACGAGAAATAAAGGCATACTTACTTTTTCGTCAAAAAGAAAGGCATCAGTCCCAATATTCTCCATGGAGTCCCTGATCTCTTCAGTTGCTCTGTTGATTGTGATATTTGTACTCATGGGATCAAAGATGAATGTCTCCAATTTAGAACAATCCTTTAGATGCAATATCTCCAAGGAATGAAAATTAATAGACGACGTGCTGAGCAGAATCTGGTGAGGTTCGGAAGATATAGTAGCTTTAGATCTTGTAGCTGACTAAACATGTTATGATCTGTATCTTCCTCATTGGATTCGTTTGTTGGTACTATCTCTTCCATGATTTGACACCTGGATATCGTAAGATTTTTGAGTTGTACAAGACTTCTAGCCATGGAAGATGAAAACAAGAATCTCAAACCACCACATCCACTCACGACCAAGCTCGTTAAGTTGGGCATCAGAACCTGCACACCAGAATTCATGTTTAGTAAATAACAACTTAATTACATTTTTAGCAGTTGAATCTCATACAAATAAAAATATAAAAATTGTGCAAGAGAATTCTTACCTTCTCAACTAAAAAGAAAGGATGTTTAATTGGTGTACACTGAAGGCCCAATTCAAGCTTTTTCTGAAACCTTGAAATTTCGGAAGCAAAAATCTCCACATTATCACATGCAGTCATCTCCAGTTCTTTGAGTAACGGCCACTCAGAAACATGCATACCCGGATAGAACATCCTAAGTTGGGGGAGATTTTCAAACTTCACAACTGTTACCTTTGGAAAACACAAACTTAGGCGTTGCTTCTAATCCTTTTTCCTTCACATTAATCTCCATCGACCCACAATTCTCAACACTCAACTTCGTTAGTTGTTCAAGACCTTTGGCCACAGAGGCTGAGAATATATTTATCAACCTCTCGCACGCATCTATCTCTACAAAATCAAGATTTGGGCACTCAAAAGTTTTCAACTGAGTGGTTGACGTGTCATATGCTTCAAATACTCCTCCGAGTTCAAATACCACTTGTAGTAACTGGCACTGCCATATCTCTAATCTATACAAAGCATTCAATCTTCCCATCATACTCCGTGCAAAGATATTTATTAGATTGTGGCATCTGTAAACGTTAACTTCTTTCAGTCTACAAAAAGAGTCTTGAGCAAGTTGGTTGTGCCATACTGTCATCAGTGCAGGTAGGTCATAGATGATCAACCTCTCCAAGCTAGGAAATCCTACCTGTATGTATATTCATCTCATAAACTTGTCAGAACACCTTTTTTCACTAATTAGGTACACATTAATTGGAAATAAATGCATAAAGAAAGGGAAAGAAATTTATAATTCACCTTTTCATAAAAAGAAAGCGTGGTATAACAGTCTCAAGATTCTCCTTGGAGTTCCTATCGTCATTTTCTTTGCCTATTGAAGTAATTTCACTCTTTCTATCAAAGATGAATGTCCCCAGTCTAGGACAATCCTCAATATGCAATGTCTCCAATAATGAAAATTCAATAATACAGAGAGAGCTAAATAAGAAAAAAAAATATTCAAAAAATAAAAAACAAAAAAGAATAAACAAAATTCGCGTTTGCTTAAGAAAAAAATATATGTATTCAACTTTTGGATGGCATACTCAAAAAAAAAAAAAAAAAAAAAAAAAAAAAACAAGATTCTTGTGATGCACACACACTTTGATAAAATTGGGTAATGTTAAATTGGTCTTTTATAAAGAGAATTTCTAATCCCACTTAAATAAGGAATTCCCAAAACCCAATTGAAATTAAAATCCAAATTAAAATCCAAATTAAAATCCAATTAAGTAAGGAATTATAGAAGCCCTTTGAAAAGCCCCACGAAATGGCCAGTTTTCTCTTTCTTTTTTTTTTTTTAAAAACCCTGGTCCAAAACTCGTTTTGGCCAGGCTTCGTCTTAAAAAAAACAAGCGCGCTGCGCGCTAGGGGTGGGCATCGGGACCGGAAAACCGGAGCACCGAACAGAACCGGTGAAAAAAAATCGGAAAAAAAAATCGGTTGACCGAAAAGTCAACAAACTGGACCGAATCGGTTCCAATTTCGGTTTTACACCACACCGCACCGAACCGGACTGGTCATGTATTTTTATTTTTATTTTTACAAAATTTTAAAATCTAATGCCATATTTTAAATTTTATAATCACTATTTTTCCAAGTTCAACTTTAAAAAATTTCTAAATGTATGAATTGGATTATTTGTTACTTTTGAAGCCAAAAAAATAAGTTATTTATTATCATTTTAAAAAAAATTAAAATTTTTAAATTTTTTTTGGAAAAAAATTAAAATAATAATAAATTAATAATCCGGTTCAAAATCAGAATTGGCCAGTTTTTGAAATTTTTTTTACCTAAATTGGACCGGTTAAATAATACCGGTTCCGATTTGAGATGAGAACCGGACCGAACCGGACTGCGCCCACCCCTATTGCGCGCTTTGCATCGTTCCTGCTTGAAGGAAAGTGCCGCACTATTTTTAGCCACTCGGAGATTGCCTTTTTGATCTTATTGGCTTAAGCAGACCGTTCGTGAGCAGATAAGATCAAAGAAAGCAACCTACAGTCCCATCCATGCATACTAACAGTAAACAGCCGATTTGCTTATTCAAGAACTCTCTAATAAGTTTGGGCTAGTGGTTTGGGCATTTCGTCGAACAGGTTGCGTGCGTCCAGCAGAGGTGCAACTCCAGCAGTTGTAATGGAGTTTTCTAGCGACCGGAGGTGCAAGTGCACCTCCTTGCGCCTGCACAGGTCTGCCAACCGGAAGACGGTTGTTATCCACATACCATATAGACTTAGGAAGGCTTATCACAAGATCCATGTTCGGATTGTGAGGGAGCTAGAGAAGAAATTCAGTGGAAAGGTGATTATTTAAGTTCTTTGGTTCTCTGCCATTTATGAAATCTAGATTTAACCCAGACTAGGTTTTCTTCGTGATGTTTTTCTGTACTTGTTCTAGGCACTGTATTTTGTGCCTTACAATCAAGGACATTTGTGCATGGGTTGTCGGGTAGGATTTTGTTTGTTAAGTACCATAATTATCTATCCTCAATGCCGGGCAGGTTTTCTTGGATCCCAAGGAACGAAACAACATGGAGTACAAGCTGGAGAGCTTTTCTGCAGTTTACAGCAAGCTATAACTGATGTGCAATTGCGCCTTCCAAATACCCGTCCCTTTTCTTTATATTTCTTAGAAATTCTGCTCATCAGGCAGTCAATTCAAAATTTTGATGTTGAGGGCGTGGTGTGGCTTGCCTTTGGAAGGATTTTGGTCTCTTCAATATTAGCACGTTTAAGGTAAGGTGATATCGGTTAATGTAGCATTTTTTTGTTTTCCCTTAGACTTGCTTCTTTTCATTATGCATGGTCATTGACAAGTTTGCTTTTAGTCTGGTGATTTTGTTTTGTTTATTTAAGTCTATTGACCTATGTTTCTTAATGAATATGCACTGGAAACTAAAGAAGTTTCTATGAACTAATTATGGTTCTTTGTAATACAACCTCAGTATGTTTGATGCAGCATATTAAGCCATGGCTTTTCTTAACTTTACTAACAATGCACAAGTTTTGGTTACGATCTCGCAAGAAAATATCGTAGATATAAACTTCGTCTGTTTGTGGGATCAACAAAAGAGAATGTAAAAGAGCAGAGTGCTGGAAGAAATACCAAGATTTATGAATTTGATTACAATTTATTGAATTGCACAAATCACAGAGTAAGCATTTCCCAAACACTCGGTGCAACTGAACACAGCAGGGAAAAAACATTCAACAAAAGAGTTCACAAATGAAGCCTCCATTTGCAACCAGCACAATAGCAGAGCTGAGAGACAAACAAATCCCTAAAGCCAGAAGTAGAGACTAGAGGGGTCCCAAAACCAACAGAGCTCCGATCACAGTTGTATCACAAAGCAGTTACAGACATGGCAACACAAGCCAATAGGAACTGGAATGCCTGAATGCCAACACAAATCACACAACCATTTCCAAATTCTTCAGCCTGTGCCCTGAGGCGGCCGCTTGCAAGCTTGTATCAAACAATAAACATTGATCAGATCGGCAATGGCGGCAAGGGCAGGAACAGCTGGGTGAGGGTGGAACAGAGATAATTGTCAGAACAAGTAAAAATGTATTTATTGAATGGTACCAGTATATACTTACTATTTAGGACCTGATGTGGTGCAAACTATGGAATATGGAGTCTTGCAGCACTAACTTGTATGGGCAATCAGCAGCTTCCCCCCTGGAAATATATTGTTGAGCATTACAACGAAACAATCAACCAAACATTTTTTATTAATATGAATGACAACTTACCGTTTCATAGCCATCAATCTTCTTCTTTTTCTTTTTCTTTTTCTTCTTCCACTTCCTCTATTATTTGTAGTCTTTCTAGTCATGAACTGCTTTGAATCAGTGACCCATCAAGCGAAATCTTTAACTCGATTAAGCATTTCTTAACAATTAAGAAGTTTAATGATGGGACCCTGATAGTGCAATTTCCTGATGAGCAAAAGCCTTGCAAACTTGGGAGACCAGAAAGATACAAATGTCGCAAGGAACTGAAAGCAATCTCGTAATAATTTCCAGAATCTTCTTCATCTCCGTTGCTTGCCACTATTTCTGTAATGCTTTCACAAGACCAAACTTTCAAGGTTTTGAGTTGGTGTAAACATTTAGCTACCGAATAAGTTACTAAGTATTTCAGTCTCATACAGCTATCCACATGTAAAGTGGTTAGATTGTGAAGGGATATTGTGGATGAAGTTAGATTCTTTAATCTGCCACAATCGTACACCTCTAGAATTTCCAAGTTTGGAAAAATTGATTCAGTGTTGTCATTCCCCAGATACATCAGCTCCTCAACTTTTTTGAGAGACAAATTCTTTATGTGTGGGAGGGTTGTTCCAACTGCATCTATTTCCCCGTTACTAGTTCCTTCATGCACAAATATTTCTTTCCAAGGACCACCATAAACCTCGAGCTTTTCAAGATTATGTAATTTTTGGAGGAAATGAAATGACTGGGGGTGTGCGTAAGAAAATGCAATCTCTTTTAGATTAATAAACAACTCTGCTGGGAATGGACCATGCGCTTCATACCAAATCTTCATGTTCTTGTTCAAGGACAACGTTTCCAAGTTGGGAAATGGATTACCCTGAAATAATATCAACATCTGGATGTCATTGTCAACCCACTTGACCAGTTGCATAACTAATATTATATTCAGTGGCGTTCACTTGGTCACCAAGAACCAAGGAACACTGTAGTCACCTGCCGTTATATCTCATTCAAAGGCAATGATTAATGATTCAATTAAATAAAAAAAAAAAAAAAAAAAAAATTTAATTATTTTTAAAAACCTCAAATGTGGCCTATGTTCTCCTTTGAAGCAAAAACTGTTCTCCATTGAACCTCCCTGTCCCTCAGTCTCTTGTCAATTTCCAGTTTTTATTTTTGTGATTTTTTGGGGTTTTTCGTTTCTTGGCTAAATTCAGTGATATTTAGTTGTTATTATATAATCTTATTAGGTGATTTCATGTAATTTACGGGGAATGAATCCTTGACAAAGGAAATCAGAAAATTTAAAGCCTGAAATTAATAAGAGAGAATCCTACACAGAAAAGAGAGGAGGCATTATTATTATTTTTTTGGTTGGTATAATTGAAATTTCAGGCAATATTTTCTAAATAATTAAATTATTTTTTAAATTAATTAAGGCTTGAATCATTATTTACCGTCTAACTTTCACAAGTCTCTTTGCTCTATTTAAATTTTATAGTCTTCATTATGTTGTACACGTCTTCAGTAAATTACCACTCCCTTTTAACCTCCTCGGCTATTGCTTTAAAAAATTTGACAAGGTGGAGGCCAAAAAATCACAAATCCTTAATAATAAAAGAATTGTAAAGAAAATATATGAAGATGAATTTAGCTACAGGAGCAACAAAGGTACCTTGTCAACTAACAAGAAAGGTTGTCTGATTGGTGGGCCCGAATCAAGTCTTTCTTGGAATCTTGAATATTCGGAAGCAAAAATCTCCACTTTACCGCATGCAACGAATGTCAACTCTTCGAGTAATGGCCACTTGGAAACATGCAGCCCCGGATAAAAACTCCTCAGTTGGGGCAGATTTTCAAATATCAAAGATGTTACTTTAGGAAACACAAACTCCTCAATTGGTGTCGTTTCTACTCCTTCCTTGGCAACAATTTCCTCCAATATTCTACAATACCGCACATTCAACTCCCTTAATTGTTGAAGACCTTTGGCCATTGATGCTGGAAAGATATTTACTAGATTGTTGCATCTCGAAACTTCAACTTCTTTGAGCTTTCGAAAAGAGTCTGGGGCAAGTTGGCGGTGCCATATAGTCCTCAACTTAGGCATGTCATAGATCATCAAGCTCTCCAAGCTAGGAAATCCTATCTGTAGATGGAGCAAATTCATCATATAAACTTGTCAATAAACGTTTTTCTTTAACGTAATTGGAAACAAATGCTGAAAGGAAAATAAATAAAAGTATAATTCACCTTTTCATGCAAAAGAGAGTATTGTACATCAGTCCCTTCAGTTTGTTTATCCACTGTAACGTTTTCACTCTTTGAATGAAAGATGAATACCCCCAGTTCACTACAATCTTCTAGATGCAACAACTCTAAGGATGGAAATTCCACATAACTTCCTGAGCAGAATCTGGTGAGGCTTGGAAGATGTTGCAGCTGTAGATGTTTTAGTTTGCGAAATATGTTATATGTATTTTCCTCACTGCTACCCATTTTTGTTACTATCTCTTCCATGATTTGACAGCTAGCTATCCCAAGATGTGTGAGTTGGACAAGACTTGTAGCCATGGAAAATGAAAACAAGAATCTTAAACCATCACATCGATGCAAGATCAAACGTGTTAAGTTGGGCATCAGAAACTGTGTATAGTAAACAATTCACGTTTAATTAGGAAATGACAATTTACATGCTGATCAGTTGTATAGATTCTAAAGTAAGTAGACAAAAAGTAAAGGTCTAATATGACATAACTAGTAACTTATTAGGCTACTTAAAGGTCCTTGTACTTCCATTAACAGAGAAAACGTGGAGTTAAAATGTATCAGAAAAAGAAAAGTTGGCCTCAAAGTTTATTAGTCTACTAATTTAAAATATAAGATATTCTAATTGAAGTGCTACTGATGACACATTTTCGTTGAAGATCATGCCTCATCATAATATGAATCATTGAATATTGTACACTTAATAAAAGCTAATACCTTTTCTTGCTCAATAAAAAACTTATAAATTAATATATGGTTTAAATGAATTGTAACTTGGATATAATTTCAATCCTAGTACTACATAATCCCTGCAGAAAGATTGACCAAAATGAAAAATATACAAAACCAACTTTATTTGTTAAGAAATAAATGTGTATAGAACAAATCCGGATGATATGTAGAAAGGTCAGGCAAATGAAACCGCAAAACGTACCTCCCCGTTCATGAAAAGTTTCGTGGGTCCACCAATTTCATTCTCCGAAATGATTTCCTCGGCCTCTGTAGTTACAACTGGCCTGCTGCCTTTGGAGGAGAAACCAATAAGCTTTGGCAGATCCCACAAAGTCAAAGATCGTAACTTTTGAAAAGGCTGAGCTATGAGTTGGCCACAACATACTGTTTCCAAATTAACAAGGTTGTCAAGAGTTAGTGACTCCAGGTTGGGGAAGGCATGACTCGAGTTAATGAGAGGTGCAACTTCATCATTGTTTTGGACATGGAGATTCTTCAGTTGTTTACCACTGTCACTTGCTAATATATAGGAAATAATATTTGCAGCCTCCATCCCATCCAAGTCCAAACGTTCACATCTCTTTAGCAGCAATTTATACCTTGGCCGAATTGACTGATTGTAGTGAGCTTGAGTTTTAACATGTTAGAGGAGGTTTCGTAATAATAAGGATATTCCCAACAATCACCAATAAGTATGGTGTATCTTACTAATGTTGTATCCGAGAACATGTTTGCTGGAAGAAGCTTAGCATCTGGAATACATATCTCTAATGCAGTTAGTTGATGCAATTGTTTCAGCTCTGACACGCTCGCATTACTTCTTCCATCATTTAAAACCTCCTTCCCATTTCTTAAAGCTTCCGATTCTCAAGTCTTCTAGACTTGTCAAGCTTGATATAACGCCAGGTGGGATCCGTACAAGTTCAGAGCAACCAGTCAAATCCAACAATTGTAGACGAGTCAATTGCCCTATTTCTTTGGGCAAATCTTTCACCTTAGATTTTAAAAGGCTAAGAATTTTCAAGTTTGTTAGCTGTCCAACTAGAGCTATGTCCCCCAACACGCAATGATCTAAACACAAAGTTTGAAGATTTGTTAGGGATTGAAGAGATGGAGGTAGTGACGGAATTCGCAGTCTGGTTACATCCAACACTTTGAGTTCCTTCATCCCTTCAAAAAAGTTGCCTGGGATTTCCAAGGAGTAATCAATATTATGATTAAACAAATGAAAGAATCTCAATTCTGGGCATACCCAAGGTACTTCAGGAAGTCTGGGGATCTTGGGACATTCTAAGGAGATCGCAGTGCATTTTTTAAGTGAATCCCTATCTGGCCATTCTTTCAGCTCATCTCCATATTCTTTTGCAATGGCGTGACTATCTTTAGATGCAATCCCCATAGCAACATCTCGTACAAGCTCATGCATTGTAATATCTCCATCATCATCAATGTCTAGCAACAAACAATAATCTTTAATAAGTTTTTTAGCCACTGCAATTAATTTATCCCGTGCATCTTCCACTGTGGGAACATTTTTCACCAAACTCAAACCCATAGCATATTTCAACAAGTCACTGAATACAATTGTACAGCTACTCCCTGCAATAATTCCACATAGCAAGAACAATGGCTTAAGCTCGTCTCCATCCAATCGATTGTAACTCCATTCTAAAGCCAAGTAGGCTGATTTTGCCAATCCATGTTCGTCAAAACTTTTGAAGTCCCTCAAGGCAACTCTCCATTCCTCTAAAGTAGTGGCTGATCTTAGAGACCTTGCAACTGCAACAACTGAAACCGGCAAACCTCCACATTTTTTTGCTATTTCAGTTGCTACTTCATGTATACGGTCATCTTTAACAACGTCACCTACCATCTTCTCAAATAAACTCCAATTTTCTTCCGTCTTTAAAACTTCAAGCCAAAACTCTTTTTCCACATTCATCTCAGAGACTCGATTTCTAGATGTCAACAATATTTTACAAGTTGCCATTGGGCGAAGTCCCAAAGCCTCCAAATCAATTGCTTCCCAGACATCATCTAAAATTACAAAAATGTTCTTGCCTTTTATTCTATTCCATAGATGCTTTGCCCTCGCTTCTATATCCTGAGTTTCATCAACATGCATACCTAACTTTTCAGCAATTTTTTTTTGAATTCTTTCCATTTTTTCCAAGTCTGGATACTTTTTCACATCCAAGACTACAACCACCTCATCAAATAAGTTCTCTTTCGTAGCTCGTCTATAAACTTCTTGGGCGAGTGTGGTCTTCCCAACACCACCCAATCCGTACACCCCAATCATGTTGGTATCAGGATTTTTCAGTTCGTTCATGATTCCATTCACCATTAAAATCCTTGATTCAAAGGCCATGTAGTTTTGAGAGGGCGTGGCACATATCTCTTCCCAGGGGAGGATCGTAAGAAACACTAGGAAACTCTTTTTTTGCATGTAGTTCAATCTCTTTTGCTAATTTTGCCGATTTCCAGCTAAGCCGATGATAGGAAACCAGATTAGGACATACTCCACTGAAACAGTTTGTCTTTGCTTGGCCTTCATTTCCCAAAATGTTTTCTGCCTCTTGAGTGATCCCATCTGCTTCTTTTCTCCAGTTCTGGACATCAGTTTCTACTCCTTTACCATTTCTTTCAACTTCATCAACCCTATGCTTCATCCGGTCTTTGACAGCATCTAAGTTCTTCAATTGACTCCTCAGACTTTCGAGGTTGCTTTTGTAGTTAATTAGATAACCCACTTGTCGCCCAATTGGTTCAACTGTATACTCGAATATTTTAGCAATAGTTCCAGTGAGGATCTCCATGGTTCTTTTTGTTTTGATTTTGCAATGAGACTCTTGTATCTGTTGAATAAACGAACCCAAAAACAAGAAAATGAAAAAGAGTAAAAGAAAAACATATTAAACCAATTGAAATGAAAGAAGGAAACTACAGGGCATACCTTAGCTTGTGAGACTAAGCTTAAATAGAAGAACACAGAGTATTAGTATGCAACACTTCTTTTTCGTTTTTCCATTAAGCTTCTTCTGGAAACAACTGTAAAGTGAAACTGTAATGAAGATAAGTGAAACAAAATGCACGACTCTCAAATCTCGAAACAAAAAGAATAGTTGGGCCACAGTCTTCCTTTAATTTTTGTTTTAGTAGTGTTTTAATTTTTGTAACTTTTTTAAATTTCTTTAATCGAGGGAATAAATTTCTAAAGAAAAAAAATTAGTTGGATTTAATTCTGAAATATTTGGAAGTAAAGCAAAAGAAATCTAAGCAGAAGCTGGTTGCTGAAATGAAGAAACCGAAGGTGCGCAGGAGACTCTTAATCAGAAAAAGCAATTGCTGCAATGAAGAAACTGAAAGTGCACAGGAGACTCTTAATCAGTAAGGGGTGGCAATCAGTGAGGGGCGCACTCAATTATTGTTTTTCAATTAAACCCAAAAACTGTGTTATAATTAAATGTAATTGCGCTTCAATCTAGTTGCTTGAGCTAACAAGAGTGGTAATTTATAATTAAATTGGTAATGTCAAGCTGGCAACTTGGCATAAATTGGATGATGTCATATGTGTCGTCATCCATAAAAGAAGGCATGATGTCATGGTCACCTGAAGAAGAATAAAGAGAGCTATGTGGAACCAATAATTCAATTCTTATTATGTTGCTATATGGAATCCAATGAAAATTTTCCACTTATACAAAATAATTTTAATTGCATTTAATGAGTACTGCCATTTGAAATGTGGCATAAATTCTTATTTAATCATCATCACATCGGAATTAGAGCCCCTCCATCGATAAGCCCAGCCGGAGGGGAGAAAAAAAAAAAAAAAAAAAAAAAAAAAAAAAGCGTTCCAGCGGAGCAACCCAAGCCCGGGGGGGGGTGTGGGACCCACCAACCGGGCTGGCCCGAAGGCAAGTTTCGCCCGAGGTCCAAAACGCGGGGGGGTGACGTCATGCTGACGTCGACACGTGGTAATCAATTTTTTTTTACCGTTGGCGTGTGCAATGCACGCGTCAACGGTAAAAAAAATTTGAGCCAGCGTGCGCTGACGTCAGCACGACGCAAGCCCAACGGCTGGAAGCCCACGTGGCACGCCCCCAACGCTCGGATTTGATTCCACAGCCTTCATCCAACGGCTGGCGATTTTCCAACAATAAAATTATGAAAAAAATCGAAATTTTTTTAAAAAAATACTAAAAAATTCTGATTTTTTTTCCTATAAATACCTATAAATACCCTTCACTTTCAACACCAATTCTCATACATTTTATTCAACTTCTACAATTACTCAACATTTTTTCATTCTTCACTCAACATTTTCTTCACTCTTCACTCAACATTTTCATCTTTCACCTTGTAATTTATTTCTTATTTTTATGGCTTCTTCTATTGAAACCGGAGGGGCGGGAGCACCATGGAAGATGTTTCTTTGTGTGAGGCTTGGCTCCGAGTTTGTCATTGTCCCGTGACAGGCAATGAATGAAATTTTTCCATATGTGGAAAAAAATTCATGCCGAATTTTGCGAAAAAAATTCCGGACTCGCCTCGTACGGAAATGGCATTGTCGAGTAGGTGGAAACTTCAACAAAGAGATGGCAAAATGGAGAGATGCCTTGGCAAAAGCGATGAACTTGTATAGAAGTGGGGAAAATCGTACTAACGAGGTAAGTATTTTGTAATTTTCGTTTTATTAAGTTTAATGTCCTAATATATATATGTTGTTAATATTTATTGCATTTTCAATATTTTGTTAATATTTCTTGCATTTCAAATATTTTGTTAATATTTCTTGCATTTTCAATATGTTGTTAATATTTCTTGCATTTCCAATTGTTTCTTCATATTTCTGCACTTCCAATTTATTTGTAAGGTTATTGCATTTCCATTATTTTTATTTGTTACTTGCATATCCAATATATTTTAAATTAATTATTGAGGTAAAAAAATTGTGAATAAAACAAAAAAATGAATAGTAACTGCCCTTAGCAAGGGCAATGGGTGGAAACACAAAAATTCGGATTTGCAAGGGCAACACTATTCACGTGAATAGTGGCTGCCTAGCTCCCCCCTTGCCATGGCTAAGGGCAAATGGGTGGAGTTGCTCTTACAGGTTGGTAGTTCCTTTTTCCTTTTCTGATAGTTATGAGATGTCAACTACCACCTATTATTTGATTCAACCATTATCACATGGGAATTTCATTCTGACCCATGGCAACCTTTATTTGTTTTTGTGTTATGGTCATGCGAACTGATCGACATGGTAATATAACTACTGTAATGTGGGCCCAAAGCTGCTCTATGAATTGCGAAGAAGATTACAAGTAAATTCTTAGAGCATGACCTCTTTGGGGTACGTATAAGAGGGTGTACATCACATTTACACCCTTTTGGACGGAAACAAATGCAGTGAGTGTGTGTATATGAGTGTAAAAATAGAGGAATCGGCCTATATGCCAAAAGTATTGAACTTTACATCTTTTTTACATCTATGATGTGGGATGTGCATCAAATAAAGTAGGAGAGATGAGATAGAAACACTGCAAATTTTCCAAATTTACACGTTTAGTGACGCCCAAGTACATCCTTACTCGAGTGTTATCAATAAACTCTTTGTATATAACCTGTTTATTTGTTTATTAATATTTTGTAGTAGGATTATGAAATATAAACTTGTAGCCCACCTATATTAATATATGAAATCGTAATAACCATATGTGTCTGTGACACAACTTAAGCCCAATTTCATGCTCTCTAAAGAATTTAATTGTGCAAAGGTTATAAATGTTTGTGAAAATCATTCACACCAGAGCTAATAAGATTATCCTAAAGCACTTGATCATAAGAATTTGTGAAACTCTCATTTTATTGGAGATAATGTATTGCTTGTTAGCGAGATTTTAGCTTAATTAGGAGATTTAAGCTACACATAACAAAAATAAGAACATAAAATAGCAGAGGACAAATAAGGAAATAAAAAGACGAAAATTAATACCTTTCTCTCCTTTGGTTACGAATGATATCACTTCCCTTCAAAATGCTTATAAAACACTGCAGCACAATCGGCCTAATGATGAGACAAAGCTGAACTGCTACTACTTTTTTTTCTTTTTTCTTTTTTCCTTTGAAAATAAAAGCAAATCAAAGGTGATAATAACAGAACGAAATCAAGGGTGTCAAACGAAAACCAGAAATTCTACTTTTTTATTTATATTTATATATATATATATATATAATGAATAAGGCTCTTTTGGGAACAATGGCAAAGGAAAAGCGAAACAAATTGGAAAAAAACGACACAATGAAATCAAGGGACAAACAAAAACCAGGAAATCTGAAGGGAATTTTTTTTTTTTTTTTTTTTTTTTTTTTTTGTTTGGTGGGGGGGTGGTGGATTTTGTTTGATTTTTTAATTTGGAATTAAAGCAAAACAATCTAAGCAGAAGCTGGTTGCTGCAAATGAAGAACTGAGGTGCGCTGGAGTCTCTTAATCAGAAAAAGCAGTTGCTGCAATGAAGAAACGAAAGTGCACAGGAGACACTTAATCAGTGAGGGGTGGCAATCATTGAAGACAAAGAAACAAAGCGTCCCAACTGTCTTTCAGAATTATTGTTGTTTGGCAAGATGGCGTAAATTGAATAATGTCCTATCCTATGTGTAATCATACATAAAAGAAGGCATGATGTCAACTACCACCTATTATTTAATTTCAACCATCATCACATGGGAATTTCATTCTCACCCGATGTCGAGCTGGGTCTTCTAGTCTCGAAGTTTTGTTTTCCTTTTAATTTTGGTCATGGAATATTGTTAGATTTTCAATATCCGTCAAAATCATGTTGTACGTAAATGTCACGTTGTGTTTGGTCACTTTCTGATGGCAACTTGTCATTGTATAAATGAAACATTAATGAATTGATTAAAAGAAAACTAGAAAAATAAGAAATGTCAAAAAAGCAAAAGAAAAATATCCCTATAGCTCTTTCTAATTTACCAAGTGGGCTAAAAGAAGTAGTTAGTGTCATATTAATTTAGCTTATTCTTAAAAAATTTGCGAAGACAAGACAACCCTCTAATTTGAAATCCCGACTCTGCCAATACATTTGGCAGGTGAATGTTAAGCCTGGTGAATTAAGTCTCACAATTAATACGAACTTGCACTCCAAATTATTCTCATCTGCCTTCCAAACGTTTGCTTTGGAGGAGTGGAGTTCAGATTCCATTATTACTTGCACAGATTTATTTCTTTTTTCCAAAGAAAGGGAGATAAATTTAACTCTAGTTTAATAACTATGATTTTTTTAAGGGTAACTTTAACTAACATTATATGAGCTGTTGTTTTACATCAGTATAGACCAAGACTTGGATATGTGGAATTGGAAAGTCATACTAAACAAAAATATTATCTAGAAAGCTTCCACCAATTGAGACTCGTGAATCAACCACCTATATCTAATTCTAAGCACTGTCCCATACGTTACGTATTTAATAATGACAGCTGATGCTGATAATTATGTGTCCCTATTAATTTTCGATGTAATATAGTGAGCTAGAAAAGTGTAAAGGCTTGCTGCTACTTAGCTGTATAGTGAGCAAATAAAAGTTACCAACAGAATAAGGTTGAATCTTTGGTGAAAAACCTAGTGGAAGAGGAAACTTGTAGCTTTGTTTGGTATGCATGACTATCATAGGCCATGGATTATATTTAGGGACTGTCATGAATTTGCTTGAGTTGGTTTAAGCTAGATAAAATTTGTCTTGTGTTTGGTGTATTCACTTGGCTTGGTGTATCAATCAACTCATGTATATTGCG